CGAAGGCCCACAAGGCATCGCTTATGGCCATTCGGGGGTATTCACTGCCCCACCGCATCGGTTGGTCTTGGGCCGCGCGGCGCGCGTCAGGCACCCTCGTTGCCTGCGCCGCGTCGGGCCCAGAGAAATGCTCCCTCCACTGCGCGCGCAGCCCCGCTGATGGCCCAGCCAATTCGCCTATGCGGGCGCGCCACGCGTGGTGGGGATGAACGCCTCTCTCGGCCCTGCTGCGTATGCTCTGCGCCCGGGGGGTGCGACCTCCCGTGGGCGAGCATTCTGCCTTGAGACCACGGCCGACTCCTGGGCACGTGGCGTGCCCAAAGCAACGCGTACAAATCAGAACATGCGAGCTCGCTCCCTTTGGGCCCTGCGCCGGTTGCTCCCATTCGAGCACTGGTGCTGCTAAAAGGGCGTGGCCCTGCACCCGCCATGGTCCTCGAGGTCCCCTGGGGGCACAGCAGGCCAGTCATGAGTGTCCCCGCCGTCCCCCTCACCTTCACTCCCCGACACAGGCCAGATCGCTTCCACGACAACCGTGCGTGCGGCCTGGAGCCCCTGATGGTCTCGAACCCCCGAGGCAGGGAGCACGGCCTCCAGCCTACCTGTGAACCGCGTGAGGCGCCGAGCAATTTCTAGGCACCCTCGCAGGAGGTTTCTGTCTTCCTCCCGAAGGCGGCCCAGCGACGCTCCTCTCTTAGCTACCTGATCGGCGGCATGGTTGCCGTCCCTCTGCCATGCCGTGATGCGGCCCTCGACGACGTCGTCCCACGTCGAGTGAGCCTTAACCTTACAAAAAGAAGCATCATCGAGGGCGCCGCCACCAGCGGCCTGCTGCCACAGGTGCGCGCGAGCCTCGGAAGGGCCCTGCGCGCAAGCTAAATTCTGCCCACAAGACACCGTGCCCTGACAGTCGACATGCATTGTGTACCTACCGGCAACGTGCCGAGACGCCATTAAAACGGCATAGTCTTCGCCATCACGCGCGCTCTGTCCTGGGCAGAGCTCGCGCGGGACGGCCCCGTACAGCTTGCCAAGGGGCCTAAATTGAGCATCGAATGCGGCGAGGCCCCACCCCGCCGAACGAAGCGTAGGCCACTCGGCGTCAAAACACGCTCCAACTGGGAACACGTGCCCCCCATCCAGGAGACCTGTCGCTGGCCAAGCTGCGCTCGAAGCTCCGCTCCTGGAGGGAGGGGGGGACGACGGAGGCAGAGGGATGGGTCGGGCAACAGAGCGCGAGCGAACCTTTCCCCCAGCTCCCGGCCCCCCTCCCGCGCGAAATTGGCCGCCTCGGCCAGATCAGCATCGAGATTGTCGGCCATCCAGGCCCGGTGGGCCGGACACCGAAAAAATCTGTGATGGAGCGTGCCGGCCTCTGCCCGGCAGCACTGGCACAAATCCGAAAGCCCCAGCCCACCCTCCACCTTCGCGAGTCGATCCTGGCACCAATGCGTTTCAAGAAGCAGGCCGCGCTGCGAACGCTTGTGGTGGACTGTCCACCCCTGGCTGGGGGAGGGGCAAAAAACAACTCGTTGAGCGGCCGCCGGAAGACCGGCCCAATCCATGCCCGTTCTCCTGGTTGCAGGATGCGCCGCATGGCGTTTACATCCGAAGCAGTTCTGCACGCGTGCTTCACCTTTTCACTAAAAAATGCTGGCGAAAAAACTCGAGCGTCCCACTTCTGGCTATGCTCGTCGACGATCAAGAAGGGGGAGGCGAGGCTCCAGCCGACGCGCGAGAGGGTCAGCACCAGCGCCGCGACGGGGTCCTTGACCGTGGACCACGCCGCCCTTCCTGCCGCAATCACACGTGCGCCGTCCAGCAGGGTCTGCAGGAGCGCCTCCGTGAACACCCCCTGCCAAACCAGGAGTAGGAGGAGGACGAGGAGGAGGAGGAGGAGGAGGAGGAGGAGGAGGAGAAGGAGCAGGAGCAGGAGCAGGAGGAGGGGGAGGAGGAGGAGGAGGAGGAGGAGGAGGAGGAGGAGGAGGAGGAGGAGGAGGAGGAGGAGGAGGAGGAGGGAGAGGGAGAAGAGAGGAGGAGGAGGAGGTGGAGGACGAGGAGGAGGAGAGGAGGAGGAGGAGGAGGATGGGATAAAGGAGAGGAAGAGCAGGATGATGATGATGATGATGATGATGATGATGATGATGATGATGATGATGATGATGATGATGATGATGATGATGATGATGATGATGATGATGATGATGATGATGATGAGGATGATGATGAGGATGATGATGAGATGATGATGAGGATGATGATGAGGATGGAGGATGAGGATGAGGATGAGGATGAGGAGGATAGGGATGAGGATGAGGATGAGGATGAGGATGAGGATGATGGAGGATGAGAGGATGAGATGAGGATGAGGATGAGGATGAGGATGAGGAGGATGAGAGATGAGGAGGATGAGGATGAGGATGAGGATGAGGATGAGGATGAGGATGATGATGATGATCATGATGATGATGATGATGATGATGATGAGGAGGAGGAGGAGGAGGAGGAGGAGGAGGAGGATGATGATGAGGAGGAGGAGGAGGACGAGGACGAGGAGGAGGAGGAGGAGGAGGAGGGTGTGCGCTGAGCACGAGGTGGGGGTGTGACCAGGCAGGGGCGGGTCTGCGCCGCGGGAGCTGGGGGGTGGCTGGCCAGCAGGGACAGCCCGACGCCGGGCCGAGCGCCCAGGTCGCTGACGAGGCAAATGCTCCGGGGCACCGAGTACTGCCACTCGCACAGGACCAGCCGTGGATTTAGCTTGTCTGTTAAGGCCGTTTTGAATCGCAACACGTGCCGTGTTCAACATGTACGCTGCGTGTTGGCTCGGCACGTGTGGCGTACGCGTTGGCGAGCGTATCGCACCAGACCTGCGTTTTCGGTCTACGTGTTGGGCTCCGTGTCAACACGCTACGAGTTGCGTGTTGAGGCCAGCTAAGGCCATGAATTCTGAGCGCTTCAAATAGTTCGTAACGGGCATCTTCGCCCAGTTTCGGGCCCCAGGGTCATCACAGCTTGGTCCTACTCGAAAAATGCAGCAGAAAGATGGGGACTATCGGGCGGGGCTAGGACGAGGATAGATCTGTTTCAAAGCGTTCCTTGGCGCTCTCAGAGCGTTCCGGAACGCTCTGAGAAGGCCGCTGCGCCAGAGACATCATCCAGAGCCGTTGGATCTCAGAGATCTCCCGATGTTATTCTCGTCCCGGAACTGCCCAGACTCTCGACGTCATGCTTTTGTTCGTAAGGTCGACCCCCAGGGTTCTCGACCCGAGGACCGATTTTTCATTCCGAGTAGTGTTGTTACGGTGCCGAGGCCAAGCCAGGGTCCTCGGTCCCCGGGGAGACCCGTCCGTCGTGATTTTTGTTCAGGACTTGAGTTGGGATGGGCGCAGGGGTTGCTGAGGGGATAGGGGGGTTATCAGTGGACGCCAAAGGGGTTATACCTGGCTGAAGCTTATATGCAAGTTGCACATGGCCCAAGTGGCTTAGGGGAATTAGACAACACCGCTGAGTGGGCGGATCCCACTTCGCCTGGATTGCTACCCACCCCAACGACTTGGGGCATTAGCAACCCATTAATGAGCTAGGTTAGGCCAGGTATAAACCCCTTTGGCGTCCACTGATAACCCCCTATCCCCTTAGCAACCTCCGCGTTCATCCCAGCACGAGGTAAATCTTCCCCCCGGCACCATTTCTGATGGCCCCGGGCACGAGAACAGGCCACAGAGGCCGAGATCGGGAACTGTGCGATCGGGGCTCCTCACATATATATATATATATATATATATACAAGGATGTGAAGGGGCCTGCGGGATACACTGGGCCCGGAGGCAGCAACATAAAGGGGAACCCCTTTGGCGTCCACTGATAACCTTCCTATCCCCTTACAGTGGGGGCACATGCCAAGAAACACCCTGCTTGCCTGCAGGGTGCCCTGGGTTTCTTGGGTTTCGAGGGTTTTGCCGTGGAAAACGTGACGTGCCCAGACCAAAAATCGATGGCCGTCCTGGGGTCTCAGGGTTGGATTTCTTGTCGAAGGTTTGGTGTGCACTGGCCTCCACTGAAGCGACCCCCGCGCCCGTCCCAGCGAGGGGGTCCAGGCAGGCTCTGGTTGAGAGTTGCCGCGCTGCTGCCGTGGTCTGTAGCGGCGTCGGGCCGACCGGGGCTGCCGCGCGGCGCGGTGCCCGCCCAACCGCTGCGCCACGCCCTGCCTTGTCCTATCCTGCCCTCAGGGGCAACACGAGGGGCACGTCAGGTCCTCCTCCTCCTCCTCCTCTTCCTCCTCCTCCTCCTCCTCCTCCTCCTCCACCTCCTCTTCTCGCCTCCTCCTCCTCCTCTTCCTCCTCCTTGGGGCGACCAATATGCTATGCAGATAGTGAACTGCCATTTCACGCCTGGCATGCCGTTCCACGAACTGTGTGGGCTGTTTCAAAGAATACGACGGCGGCTCTCTGCTGCCACCTGTGCTGTGTTTGTGATGGGGGATTTCAATTTCCACGAAGTGGGTGAGGGTCGCTACTCACTACTAGACTCGTCCGAGCGGTATGTCTCTCCCAGGACGGCAATGGAATTCCACAAGGTTTTTTCCCGAACTTCTGGAGGCAACCCCTGCGTGCTTTACCCATCGGGTGAAAACGGAGGACTCTTTCAGCCTGGCCAGGTTAGATCGGGTATACACATCACTACCTACCGAGGATCTTCTAGATTTCCAACCTCTCAGCTCTACTGTCTGGTCCCCCGCCGACCTCCAGGCCCCGTCGGACCACGCCCCTCTCTTCCTACGTCTCCAAGCCTTCGACCCCATCCAGCGTCCCCCTAGCATTCCACCTTGGATTGCAAGGCACCCACGGTTTTACGCTCATATGGACGCTCTCCTCTCAGCCGTCTTCCTCTCCACGGACCCCAATGAACGACTCCAGGATATCCAAGAATGTATGCGCAATGCTGCCCATAAAGATCGCAGGGACATCGACTGTGGTGGCGCTACCACGGCTGCTGAACAATTAGCTTGTGCTGTAAGGTGTCTGCGTGCTGCCCGTGCACTTGAAGAAGTGCGTGGCTCTTCCGACTCCCGCTCCCGACTCCTGCGCTCCAACCTCCAACAGCGAATCGCCAAAGCTCTCCATGCCTATCTCATCCTCCACTCCTTTTACGAGCTGAAGGTCGAGTCCTGGAAGGACCGCGACGGATTCCACAGGCATGTCGCTGCCTTAGCTCGTGAGGATCTAGGCCGGCAAGAGGCGATGCTTCTGCGCTCTGATCTTCAGAATACGCACAAAGATCCGCAGATCGCCCGTGTGCGTAGGCTCGCCAAGGCGTGGGCCAAATCCCGACCAAGGATCTACCTCAATGCCATTATCGATGATGGGAAGGAACATCTGGTGGATCCGACTGCGATGGGGGAGAAGCTTGCTCAGCATTGGGGTACAATATTTGCAGATGTTTCTGTGTCGACTGACGGTGCTGCTAGGTTTTCGGTTATGAGACCGCCACTACCTACTGATATGTACCAATGTTCCAACAGTACTCATCAAAGGTTTCCCTGGGTCGTGTCGGGATCTCAAGTTGAGTATGTTCTGAATGCCAAGGTTGACAGCTTCCCTGGGCCTGGTGGGATCCCCTACAGTGCCTGGAAGTGCCCTCATCCTGTTATTCGGGCTGCCCTTTGGGACCACTACAACCACTTCGTCTCCATTCAGGTCCTAGCTGATGACTTCAACTACTCCAAGCTCGCCTTCCTCCCCAAGAATGTATCGATCCCTGGGCCCGTGGCTAAAGCATGTGGAGACACGAGACCTTTGGCGCTCAGTAACACTGACAACAAACTTGTCTCCTCCCTGCTCGCCTATCCCCCGGCCGAAGTTGCGAAAGACCAACTCGACCAGTCTCAACGGGGATTTATTGCAGGAAGGTATATGGCAGACGACATTATTACATTCGACGGCCAACTTATGTTGTGGCAGGCGCTCGACAACTCAACGACTGCTGGGGTGGTCACTTTTGACCAGAAGGCTGCGTTCCCGTCACTTCACCACTGGTGGCTATTTGCCGTCCCCACTCGCTGGGATCTCCCACCCTTCGTCGTTAACTGTATCAAAGCTCTCTATCGTCGGGTGTGGTGCTCTATACGTATTCACGGGTACGACTGTGGTGGATTCTGGGCTTTCACAGGTGTCAAGCAAGGGGGCCCATTAAGTGGCCTACTATTCGCATTTGCCTTCGATCCTATTGTGCGTGCCCTCTCCCGCCTGCGACTCCAGGTCACGATATCTCCCGCGGGCTTTGCTGACGACCTAGCGGTTGCTGCAGCAGATCTAGCCAGTGCTCTTCCTGTCATAGTAGAGGTTTTGCGTTCGGCCACTGGTGCTTCTGGATTGGAACTTAACGACCCCAAATGCAAGATTATCGTTCCCCGCCCATACGATGTTGGTATCATTGTGCGTTTGTGTCGTTCCCACGGCCTCGATGTATCCAATTGGAAGCACGGACAGGCAGGTATGTACCTTGGCATCGAGGTTGGTCTCGGTGCCGCTCGTCTTGACTGGGCCAGGGTTGGCCAGACTCTCCGTTCTCGCGCAGCAGAGGTCAAAAGGCTTAGGGCTTGGGCTTGTATCGAGCATACGTGCATCTAACACATACGCCCATCCTGTGTGTTCACATGTATCTCATTTTCGCCCTTGTACTGCAGAGGGCGCTGATGGGGAGAGGGAGGGACAGCAGCTTCTCACCTGGGCACCTCGGTACTCCTTCACTCCTGCCGTGCTGTTGCGTGCCACTGACGTTGGCTGCAAGGTATGCTGTCACTCAGTGCGTGTGTCCGCGAGGGCTGCCATGATCCGCGCGGCCGCTCACTCTGTGGTGTTTGCTCGTCTCAGGCAGACTGTTCAGGAGAAGGAGGATCAGGATGATGTGTGCCTCACACACAAATGGTCAGATGCATACAAACTCTCGGTATTTCTCCAACTGTGTCGCGTATTCGACGAGTACCAGAAGTCTCACGGCCCTGTGGATATCTCCAATCGGACAACGACCCAAAGAAATATCGCTAAGCTCCTTCGTCGTGAAGAAAACAGTAGCCCCATTGTTCCGATCGTGGCCCCCAGAGTCCTCAAATGGGTACCCGACACCACGCTCAAGCAAATCGACCTTGCTATCATTCGGCTTGAACGTATTGGGCAATGTCTTCCCCCTTCATCCACACCTCTACTCTCAAGTCTCGCTTCAACTCCTCGAACACTACACGACGATACAGGCAGGCGGTTAAACCATGTGTATGTGGGTGTGGTTGTGCCGACGGTGACGATATTTTGCACTATGTGGTCTGCCCGCGTATTGTGAGATACATTAGACGCCTTCTCCCACATCTTCCCGTGAGCTGGCGATCCGGGCTTCGCTCCTGTCTGATTCCACATTTGTTTGTTGCCAGCACTTCCTCTGCATTGGTTTCCCATGCCATCGCTTTAGATCTTCACCTCGCTGCTTTCAATACCTTGCGTTCCTTTTCAGGCTCCCCCGAAAAGGCCAGGCAAACTGTCCTGGCCCGACTCCGAGCCGGTGCACGGAGGTCCAGGGCTATACGGTGCCTGACCTCAGCCGCCTCTGCCGCCCCGCAGGCCCGCGCAACGGGAGGATGAACTGCTCTCTCAGGGGTGCGCCTCCTCTTCCTCCTCCTCCTCCTCCTCCTCCTCCTCCCTTTTCGTTATCCTCTTCTTCTCCTCCTCCTGCTCCTCCTGCTCTCTTTCTCTCCTTCTCCTCCTCCTTCTTCTCTTCGTCGTCGTCCTCCTCCTCCTCGTCCCCCTCCTCCCTTTCCTCCTCCTCCTCCTCCTCGTCCTCGTCCCCCTCCTCCTCCTCCTCCTCCTTCCCCTCCTCCTCCTCCTCCTCCTCCTCTTCCTCCTCCTCCCCCTCCTCCTCCTCCCTCCTCCTCCTCCTCCTCCTCCTCTCCTCCTCCCCTCCTCCTCTCCTCCTCCTGCTCCTCCTCCTCTTCCTCCCCCTCCTCACCTCGTCCTCCTTCTTTGCCTCCTCGTGTGGTCTGGTTTTTGCGTGGACGGTGGAACATTGGCCCATCAGAGTGGGCTCCAATCTGGCAGTGCCAAGGCCAGGGTCAACGGTAGGAGGGGCGATCGGCTCAGGGGATTCGATGTTCGTGGTATCCGGGCGCTTCCGCTGGTGAGCAGAAGGTTGGAAAACGCCTACGGACCTAACTCAAAACCCTCTCGTTCATGGTCTCGGCTCGACGCGCTCGCCTGTGAAGGCGGCGAGTTCCTCAAGTTCGCTCCGATAAGCATGTACAAATCCGGATGCAAAATACTGACGACGGCGGAAGGACGAAGGACGCACTCGGCTGGTTCCCAGCCTCGGCATGCCTTCCAGCGGCTGCGCCTTGGCCGCAGCGTTCCCGAGTGCCCGGATCGTCTCGAGCGGCCGCCGGAGGCCCGAGTTATGAACCGAAAAACCGCAAGGGGACAGTCTCGGGGATGCATGCCCGAGCCCGCGTCCGAGCCCGAGCCCCAGCCCGAGCCCGAACCCAGGCACGAACCCAAGCTCGAGCTCGAGCCCAAGCCCGAGCCCGAGCTCGATGGCGTCCAAAAGCGGCTCGGGATTCTGTGCGGGTCTCGAGGAATGAGGGGGATGAGGAGGGGGAGGAGAAGGGGGAGGAGGAGGGGGAGGAGGAGGCGGAGGAGGGGGGGAGAGGAGGGAGCAGAAGTTCCTGGCCGTATATCTCTGCTCGCTGGTCATGGCACTGGGCCGTGGCCAGCTGTGCACCGAGAGGGCACGGGACTTAAGAGACGGGGGTCAATGCAAACGGGGTTCAGTCAGATCGCCGGATCTTGTAGCATCCTGCAGAGCCAGGGTTGCACTGACCCGGGCTTGGGTGCAGGATCCTGCAGGATATTGCATGATCGTGCAGAGCCTGGGTGACCCGGGTCCAGAGTGACCCGGGCTGGCAGATCCCCGACAGGGCGCTCGGCCAGCGGGCCATTCCTTTTCGGACCGTTCGGACGGTGACGGCGACGCCCCTAGGCCGTCGGCAACTGCGGGCTGGAGTCAAAGGCTTTGGAGGTCTTCAGGACCACAATCCTTAGCGATTGCGTGTGAGGCGTGCCCGTGTCCTCCGCGTGCGCCGAGTGTGCTGTGTTGTGAACCTCGCGCAGGATCATCCACCGAGACCTCAAGCCGCAGAACATCCTCATCCAGCGGGCTGGCTGTGCCTGGGACGGGGCCTGGGGGTTGGGGGGGGAGGGGGACGGAGGTCGTCGGGGGCAGACGGGGAGGAAAGCGGATGGGGAGGGGAGGAGATGGGATCTGCTACGCGTGAGGGTGACCCTTCGCCAGAGCGACCTTTGGTGCGCGGCTTTTGGTGTGTGTGTGTGTGTGTGTGTGCCGGGGGGGGGGGGGGGGGCAAACCCAAGCCCGCAGTGCAACGATGATCAAAGCAAAGCGCGCACCAAGGATCCCTCTCGCACGGGGCCACTGCTGCGCGTAGCCGATGGGGGGGGGATGGGACGGGAAGGCCGCCGTGAGACCAGGAGGGCGGTCTTGGGGCCTCTTGGTGGCACGTGGGAAGCTATCCTGAGCTGCGATGGAGTCGCAGCGGGAGGTGTTTGGCAGTTCTCGGCATTCGGGAGGGCCCTCGCCGGGCCCCGAGACTTCAGGAGACATTGCTCGTCGGGCTGCCAATCCGGACCGGGGGAAAGGGTCTAGGATCTCCGCGGGTCCACGACGTGGGCCCCCGGAGGTTTGGCCCCCACGTTGCGAAAGATGTGGGATGGTTCTAGAGCTTCGTCGCAGCGTGAACTCCACGTCGTGATTTTCGCAACGTGGTTTCCACGCTTCAAGGGGTCGACACAAACGTTGTTTTGGAAATCTCGTGGATCGTTTAGGTGGTTGTTCGTTTTCGGTACGTGTTCAGTCTAGGGTCCGCCATTGGCCAATCACCTCTTCGCATTTGCTTCGAAACGCTACGTTGGGACCTCGGTCGGACCTTTCTCGTTTCACAACGCCTTGAAACGACAACCTAACGAGAACGCAAAACGCTGTGATGATCGACCCCTCACGAAAACACATCGTCGGATATGTGTGGGTTCCCAGGACTAGGGGGCGCGGATCAAGGCCGCCTGCACACTGCCGATTTGCTACCCCCCCTTCTGCTACAGCCAAGACGCTGAAACAAGAAGTAGTTCGGGTTCGGAGGGGGCTCGCTTTTGCTTTGGTCCTTCCATGGTTGTTCCTGCAGCGTTCTTCCTGCACCCAGACCTATATGGTAGGATATAGCCAGGACCCCAAGTAAGGAACGCCGGATAGCGATCGGGCCCCGAAGCCCAACAAATAAATTGGAGTCACTTAGCCAGGTCTGCCGCGGTGTTTCGTCGGGCGGCGGCAGTTCCGGTTCGTGGAGTGGGGCGGGGGGGCGTCCCCTGGTACGCAGCACTAGACCAGGTCCCATCAACCTCAGTGCCGCCAGCGCCCGACTTGGGGCCTCGTCCCAGACCCCCGAATTCATGATGTTTTCATAACGTCGACTCTCAGAGGTCTCGACCTGTTCCCCTGGACCGGTTTTCCATCCTGAGCCGTTTTTGACGGTCCCGAGGGCCAGTGAGGGCCTCCAGAGGCCGAGAATTAGGAAAACCTCCCGTCATGATTTTTTTCACTGCCCGAGGTGGTTGGGGGGTTCTTCTTTAGCTTTCCCCTGGCAGGAGCTTGACTGTGCCCCGCCCCGTCCCGCCCACCCCGAGAGGGGGCGTCGCAGGGCCCGGGCGCGGTCTCGCCCCTCCAGACGTCGCGGCCGCAGGTGCCCCCGGGAGCGAGGTGGTCAAGATCGCGGACTTCGGCATGGCTCTTTATCGTGAAGTCGGGCCTGTCCCTCTACATTGGAATCTCTACCACTAGTCGAAAAATAGTCTTGGGAGGATGTTTGGAGTACTTTCGTTTTTTTGGTGTGTGGCAATTGTTCAGACTTCGTCCCGAGTCCGCCTGTAGGGGGACATGCCCGACCTAAATTTCTCACGGGCAGGGCTCGGTTGGGGGGGGATACCGTCGGGAAGCTTGGGATAGCGTGCCGCTTCGCCGGCTCCAGCCCTCCACGCTGCGGCGCGACACGCTGCCCCCAGTCCCGGTCCCCAGGCGTCCACGCCGCGAGTTGTTCCCTGCCTCCCGCCCCGCAGAGCGGGGCGACGCGCTATCCGCTTGCAAGGCATAGCACGTCGCCTGGGTCGCCGCCGCGACCCGCTGAGCAAAAGTTCCGAACCGTAGGCTCAGGGGGAATGGCTTTGCGGATTCGCCATCGGGGGCCAATCGCCGATCCATCAGCGACGTATCATTAAGTCGGGCCTGTCCCTCTACAGGGGGAATGTTCAAAAATAGTCAAACAATAGTAAGGGGACGATCTTTCGACTATTTTTGATCATTATGGGGCATTGTTTGATTATTCTTCATTTGTCGTCCAAAGTCCCCCTGTAGGGGGACATGCCCGACCTAAGCGTATCGCCGATGCCAGGTCAATGTGTCCCCCCTGAGCTGCCCCCCCCCCAAAGTTTATGGAGAAAGAGAAACACAACCGGCGGGCCCAGGGAGGGGATATTCGGTAGTCGGTAGCATATCATGGGTAGAGGGTTTCTCCCTAGTGCTTAGGCGACCCGTCCTCCTCCTCCTCCTTCTCCTCCTCCTCCTTCTTTTCCTCCTCCTCCTCCTCCTTCTCCTCCGCTTCCTCCTCCTCCTCCTCCTCCATTTCCTCCTCCATTTCCTCCTCCTCCTCCTCCTCCTCCTCCTCTTCCTCCTCCTCCTCCTCCTCCTCGGGTCGCCTACGGTCCCGGGGAAGCCAGTGCAATCATGGGAGCATTGTGTACCCTCGTAATTCCGTCTTTAGCGTCGACTAGCGTCGATTAGCTTCTGGTAGTCGATGAGATAGCGACGATTTAGCGTCGGCTAGCGTCGATCCAGCGTCGAATTAGGGTCGATTTGCGTCGATTCGCAAGGACAAGATGGTATGGGAGGCTCCCATGAGTTGCCACCGAAGGGATACATCGTTCCAGAACATCCCAGGGCGCAATCAGAGCGTCCCCGAGCGCTTCGGAACGGCCGCGGCGTCCGAAGTATCCTCCAGCAGTTACGTTACGTCTTCGCGGGACCTGGCCTGTCCCCCAAATCGGAGTCTTTTCTCGTGCCCAGTGCGGGCTCGATGCGGGCTCGACGCGGATGTGGCGTGGATTCGACGCGGATTCGACACGGATCCGACGAATCTGACATGTATTCGACGCGGATTCGACGCGGATGGGGCCGCGACGGGACAGACAATGTGCCCGAGGATGCAACATATCGACGGATCACAGAGATCCCGACTTATCCCGGTCCGGTATTGTCCCTGTCTTGGCTTCGTCTTGAGATCGGTGCCGCCCTTCCCTGGATGGGCACCCTAGCCGTCTCGGCTAGAGCCGCGTCGGGATCCTGGTCAGGACGTGCCGCACGAGAGGTCCAGGGATGGCTCCTGTTCCTAGCCCCCCCCAGGCTCGCGCGTTCTCCCTGCCCCTGCCCAAGTACACCCACGAGGTGGTCACCACGTGGTACCGCGCGCCAGAGATCCTCTTCGGCGTCGAGGAGTGCGCACGGTGCGTGCCGGGAGAAGAGCGGTGCGGCTGCCGCGCTCGGTTGCCAGCGTAAGTCCATGGGTTCGGCGCGGGCCAGCGCGCGCCGAGAATTGCCGAGTCACCCCCTGGGGGGGCCCCGTATCTGTCAGGCAGGGCTCTTGGACGCCGCGGCTATCGGACCAGGGAGGAGGTCCGCTTCAGGGGCGTCCTAACCGACCCCTGGCAAATCATCCCCCTCCGTGACGTGCCCCTCGCCTCGCCCCAAGACGTATGTATGCGGCCGGATCGAGGCTTGAAAGGCGAGGGTGACGTCACGGAAGGGGATGGTTTGCCAGGTGTCGGTTAGGCCACGCTCGGCCGTTGATGCCCCCGCGCGGACCCAGTCTCTCGTTCGTGCTCGCTGGTGTTGTTTTTGGGGCTGCCCGATTCTGTGATGAGAGCCCTCAGGATCGACGAACCTATCCCCATTCCCGCTGGGCCATAGCGTTTCAGCCCCACAGCCCACCCTCCCATGCCTCCGATGTTGGGGGAGGCCCCGCGACACCCGAGTGAACAGGCATATATGATCCCGGGCTCTGGGCCCACGGCTTCACCCCCTCCCCAGATGGGATGGGTCTCAGGGTCCCTCGGGCCCCTCCCCCCCCACAGATGGGATAGGGGGTGTGGACGACGACGACGACGATGACGACGACGTCGACGTCATCATGCCTAGGACGTCGGTGTATGTTCCGATGCCGATGCCGATGCCGATGCTGATGTCGTCGTCGTCGTCCTCCTCCTCCTCCTCCTCCTTCTCCTCCCTGATGAGGGCGGAAGGCCGGATCCCATACCCACCTCCGCACGCCCACAGGGGAAGACCCCACCACGCCACGCCCACAGGGGGGGTGGGGGCCCATCGCGCGCGGGGGGGGGGGGCGGCGATCGCATCAGCATGGGGGGGGGGTCCGGACCCTGGATCATATATCCACACCCAGGTTGGTGCCTCCTCAGCCAGCGGGGCCAAGACCACACCTGTGTGGAAGGATAGGGATCGGTTAAAGATGCTCAAGTCCGTCAGACTGGGGTCTGCGGAGTCGGCGCCCGTGAGAGCGCATCGAGGAAGCTCAGGGATTTCGCCGCCTGCAGGGCGCGCAGAGCCGTCCCTGCCCGCGAAGTGCTTCGATGCCGGCCCTCACGACCTGGGAGGAGGAGGAGGAGGAGGAGGAGGAGGAGGAGGAGGAGGCGAGGAGGAGGAGGAGGAGGAGGAGGAGGAGGAGGAGAAGGGGGGGCGATCCTGGAGCACAGTTGGCACTTCGGGCTGCCGGTCCGTCTGCCACCCAGGCGTTGGCGTCTGTCTCGGAGTGTGCTTGGCCTATGCCAGAGGCTGTGAGGCGGTGGGTAGCATGCGCCGCTCCGTGCGCCTTGCAGTCAAGGCCGGGAGGAGAGACGGGCAGAGTTCTCGTGAAAGTCGGGCGTGTCCTTCCACAGGAGGAAGGTTCAGAAACAGTTAAACATAGTCTGGGGATGATTTTGCTCAAATATGTTAGAGCATGTTTGTTTGTTTTCCTGGGAGGACTTTTCGTTTTTCGTCCAGAATCCGCCTGTAGGGGGACATGCCGGACCTTAGACTACTTCAGGTGCCCTCGCTCCCGTGCCCTTTCCTGCCCGCTTTCCCAGGGCCTCCCCACTTCCTGCCTTGGCCTTTGCTGCTGCAGCAGCGAGAGGCCCGGGCACCCTGACTGCACATGTTTGAGCCCTGGATGCGATCTTGACTGCGCTCCCTAAGCCGTCGAGCCTGGTTCGGCGTCGCGCCCAGGGGCAGGCCTTCTCAGAAGGCGACCGGGCTTCTCAGAAGCCCTCCAGCCATCTGAGAAGCCCTCCGCGGCTCCAGAGGAGGCTCAGAAAGCTTCTCGGAAGGCCAATGGCTTTTTGAGTCTTCCGAGAAGGCCCGCCCCCTCTGCCCCCCCCCCCCGGGCGCATCGCCAATTCCTTGGCCTCTCAGACGGGGTCGAAGTAGATTGGGCCGTAGGGTCACGCCGCATGGTTTCACATTGCGACTGCCTGAGTACTAACTCGTACGCCAGGCTGCACGGTGCGCGCTACTCACGACCTCATCGCACGAGTTCGATGATCGGTCGAGGTAGGGCTCGGCTGGCACGGGTGCACGCGCGGGCAGAGATCGGCATGGACCATGCGCAATGCCGAATCTTCTTTTCTGTTCGACTCCAGCTCGGCTCTCGCTCGACTCTAGCTCGACTCAAGACACGGCTCAAGTTCGACGCAGCATCGGCTCAGGAGGAAGAGCGAAAGGCTCCAGGAAGGTCCCCAGAACGAGCATCCGACGATGCCGCGCCCGGCCCGCCAGGAGTACTCCCTGGCCGTGGACACTTGGAGCGCGGGGTGCATCATGGGCGAGATGGCCACGGGCACTGCGCTCTTCCAGGCGGGCGCCTCACCTTTGGAGCGGGGCAGATCGCGGGAGGGCGACTCGAGAGCCCCCCGTGTCGCCACGGCTGGACGCAGCTCGGCTAACCGAGTGCGTTTTTGCATTCCAGGAGGGGTCCGGTTCTCCGAGTTTCTGAATCAGCTTCGAGGGGGCGTCGCCCATGCCGACAGCCCCACATCGACCCCCCGTCGCGGGAAGCCACCGCGCGCCGAAGGCGCTCCGACCCCCGCGCAACCACGAGCCGAGGTTGACCCCCGTCGGGGGGGTACCCCCGCACGCTTATTGAGAAACCCAAGGAGGATGCGGAGGAGAGGGAGGAGGGAGGAGGGAGGAGGGAGGAGGGAGGAGGATGAGGATGAGGATGAGGAGGAGGAGGAGGAGGAGGAGGAGGACCCAGAGTGCCCATTCCGAGCTGCCGTTGACTCATCTCGCCCTACTCAGAGAGAAAATGGCCTCCTTGCCGCCATACCACGGCGGGGTGCGCCCCGGAGGTTTCTTTTGGGTCAGAGCGCGCCGCTCGGGCGGCTCGGGGAGCAGCAGTAATGCTCGGCACCGTTCTGCCGCCACCTCCTCCTCCTCCTCCTCCTCCTCCTCCTCCTCCTCTCACAAACGCCTCCCTTCCCACCGCCAGAGCATGTCCGCATCCACCACTTCGGCGCCGGCGCTCGCAGGCGATTCCCCCCCCCCCCCCTGGGTTGTCGACGCAGGACGATGCCGTTCAGAGAAGGAGGGGGGCCCTGGGATACACCCCAAGGGTGCTGTTCGAACGCACCCCATATCGAGGATGGATTCCACCCCATCGTATATCCCAGACGGGCCCCAAACTTCTGGTCCATTCGAAGAACCCACCACGCCTGGGATAGGGGTCGACATATCCCCTGTAGGCTCCCTGGGACGTCGAGAGGCGCGGTGGATATTGCCATCTGCCCGCCCGTGTGGGCGCGCAGATGTAATCGTAGCCGCCGTGTCCTGAGTCGCCTTGCGGCGCGTCCATGCCGGCAGGCGTCGCACCCTCGGCGCTCTCGCCCCTCCTCCTCTCGCCGGGTCTCTCGCCCCCCCGCCGCCCCGGAGAGCGGCTGTGCCTCGAGCTCTCCCACAGGGTACCCCCCTCTCCAGGCCCTCGGCCCCCTTTGTTTTTTTTTGTGTTTCGAGACCAGACCAGAGATCCTCGTCTGGGAGCTAGGGAGGAGAGAAGGAGCAAGAGAGAGAGAGAGAGAGAGAAGGAGAGAAGCGAGAAGAGAGAGAGGGGGCGCAGCGTGAGGATATATCCGGCGCGGGGAGGCGGCGTGGTGCCTCTCTCGCTCCTCCGCCCCGCCTCCCCCCCTCGACGCCGTTCGCGCACGGGGCCGCACAGGCGGGGGGGGGGGGGGGGCTCCCGTGCACCGCCTCCTCTGCGCTCGTGGCGCGGTGCCGGCGGGGCAAGAGCGGGCCTGTCTGCGGGAAGGGGGCGAGCGAGCCGTCGGCCTCGGAGCCTCGGGGAGGAAAGGGAGTGGCCGCGCCCTCTCTCTCTCTCTCCCTGCGCGCCCTCTCCGCCGCCTCGAGGGGCGAGCGCGGCCTCCCCTGGCCAGGTCGGCGCGCGCCCCTCGGCTTCCCGCCCACCCAGTGCCCTCCGCCTGCCCTCTGCGCTTGACGACGACGACGCCGACGACGACGACGCCGACGACGACGTTGACGTTGACGACGGCGACGATGACGATGACGATGACGACGCCGACGACGACGACGCCGTGGTACAGCCCCAGATCTGCGACGGTACGATTGTTCCACTGGCATGTTCTTCTCGGCTTCGGCCTCTTCGGTCCCCGAGGCCGTTTTCGGGCCCCGGGGCCACCAAAACCACTGGTCCAGGAGGAACAGGTATTCAACACCCGGGGAAGCGGTGGGGAGCGCTTGGGCCGCGGACGGAACACAGACATGTCGGAAGATGTCCGGGGCACAAGGCGAGGGCGAGGGTGGCGTCCCCGTCGGGCTCTCGGCCCTCCGTTCTTCCAGATCCTGCTCCTGCTCGGAGTGCAGTACTGCTTCGGCGCAGCTCCTGCTTCGTCTCCGTCGCGCTCATCGGAAAATGTGCCACGCGAGAGACTGAGAGAGAAACACACACTCTCGCACACAAACTCACACACACACAAATACACACGCAAACACAGAACACACACAAACCCACACACACACAAACACACACAATCACACACACAAACACATACAAACACGCACACACACGCACACACACACACAAGCACATCCACAACACACCGAAACGCACACACACACACACAACGCACACACAACGCACACACTCACACTCGCACATGAGCACACATAAGCACACACAAACACACACACACAAACACACACAAACACACACAAACACATAACCACACACAATCACACACAACTACACACAAACACACTCACACAAACACACACAACACACAACACACACACACACAACACACATACGCACACGCGCACACACAGACACGCCTTCACGCGCTCACGCACCTACACACCCACACACGCACATGCACACGCACATGCACACACACTCACTCACACACAAACGCACACACACACGCACCCAAGCAAACACACACAAACACAGACACACAGACACACATACACACAACCATACACAAACACACAGCAACACACACACACCCACGAGCACACACAACCACCCACACAGACACACACACACAGGCACATCCACAAACACACACACAGTGAGACACACACACACACTCACTCACACACACACAAGTACATGCAATTCAGAAGCACACACAAGCACACACAAACACAGCCACACACGAACACACACACACACACGAAGGCACACACTATCACAAACACACAAGCGCACACAAGCGCGCACACAAACACACACCCACACAAGCACACGACACAAACGTACATGCACACATGCACACACAACCGCGCACACACACAAACCCACACATTCACACACAAACGGATACAACTACACACAAACACACCGACAACCACACACAAACACACACAACCACACACACGCACACACACACACGCAAACACACAACACACAACACACAAACAAACACACACGCACAACCACACGATTTTAAGTCGGCGGCGCATGTGGTCCTCAGGCGCGGACAGCAGATGAAATTGCCAACTGCGGTTGAGCGCTGTCGAAGGCACAGTGCACAACCCGTGCACACTGTCAAATGCATCGGTGGGTGCTGTGGGGGGGCGCACAAACCCACACGCACACACACAGCCACCCACACGGACACACGCAAACACACCTGCATGGAAACACACAAACACACAATCCACACACCACACATGCAACACACAGCACACACATACACACGTACACACGCCCACGCACCCACGCACCCACGCACCCACACATGCACATGCACTCGCACACGCACAAACACAATCAAATACACAAAAACACACCCAAACACACGAGCACGCACACACACTCACGAACACACACAAACACACAACCAGCAGCCACACACACACACACTGATACACACCCTCACGCACACTTTCACACACAACCACAAACAAACACACACAAGCACACACACAAGCACACACAACTACACACAAACAAACACACCCGCATCCACACACTAACAAAAACACACAACACACACGCACACACAAACACGCATGCACACACATTCACACAAACACCCGCGAACATACACAACCACACACAACCAAACGCACACGCACACATTCACACACAAACACACCCAAACACACAAACACACCCACAACCACAAGCACATACACGGACACACAAACACATAATCACACACGATCACACGCACATTTCACACGCACGCACAACACACAAAACGCACAAACAGACATACACACAACCACATATTTTCTGAGTCGTCGGCGCAGAGCATCCGCAGGCGCGGACAGCAGATAGAAGTGCCAATTGCGACCGGGCGTTGCCGAAGGCGCAGTGCACAACCCGTGCGCACTGTCACATGTAACGATGGGTGGTGTGGAAAAACGCAGAAGCACACAAACACACAACCACGCACAAACACGCACAACCACACAAGCACACAAACACGCACGAACACACAAGCACCACACACACAACACACACTCACACGCAAACGCACCCACACACCCACGTACCCACACACGCACACGCACACGACCACACACGCACACGCACACACAGACACACAGACACACAACCACACACAAACACACACACAAACACACCTACAGGCACACACACACACATGTCGTGGCGTGCCGCCTGGCATGAGACGGTGCGAGGACACGGTGTCTCCACGATAGGCGGGCAACGGACAAACAGACACACCGACACACAGACACAGACACAGACACAGACACAGACAGAGACCGGTAGCCATGTTGGCTCAAGGCCATGGAGCACCCGACGACCGCGAGTCGTCCGCGGCGCTCTGAGCGCGAGGGGCTCTTCGCTTTGGGCCAGCTCACAAGTGATTGTTCTTCGTGCCGACAGCACGGGCCGCGAGGCCGCAGTTTTGGGCCGCGAGGCCACGCGTCGGGGTCAGCCTTGCCATGGTGGCGTACGGGCAGGCAGCTGGAGGCCGCTCCTGGGCCAGCGTCGCGGCGTGCGGCAAGGCCAAGGGCAACTGGAGCTACTGGGTCTGCTCCAGCGGCCAGTGCAGGGAGTGGAACTGGTGCTCGCTCTGGAAGTGTCGCAGCTGCGGCCGAGTGGCCCCGCCTTGGGTCAAGGCAGCCCAGCCGCCCGCGGCTGCCGCTGGCCAGGAGCCGCCCGTCGCCGACGCCGAGGGCTTCGTCGTCCAGCCCCGTGGGAGGAAGGCGAGGCGCCAGGCCAAGCGCACTGCTGCCCGCGCGGCCAGCGCGGGGGCCGCCAGTCGGGCAGGCGTCCGCGAGGCCAGCAGCGTGCAGCCGTCGGCCGTCAAGCGGCACCGCCAGGAGGGCAAGCGCATCGAGGACTTCCTCGCGGCCCCTGGCGG